TCCCTCCTTCCCTCTTTCCTTCTTTCTGCTTCTTTCTGCTCTCCTTCCTTCCTCCCCCTCTCCTTCCTTCCTTCCTTCTCATCTTCGTTTCTCCTCTCTCCCTCCCTCTCTTCCCATCACCTGTCTTTCTCCATGTCTTTGCCCCCAAAGCAGAACGAGGCAATTGAAACTTCAACCGGTCAGCTTTGCCTCCAATGTGCAATGTTTGCAAATAATTTATCTGGAACCAGGAGGACATGCAGAGCCCCGTGATATGTCAGAAGAGAGCAGAGGCCGTCTGATTTCTCGGTCATAGGCCAGGGAAGGCTGACAACACCCCTGCTGTTGTGAGAGATTAGCAGAAGAAGCCAAGGTGGTTAGTGCATGTGTGTGTGCGTGTGCGTGTGTGTGTGTTGGCTTGTGGCTGTATTTGTTTGGGAGCCCCTTGGCCCCCTGGGAAAAAAATATTTCTCTCAAGCCAGTCTAGCAAGGGAGGCCATCGGAGATCTTGATTAGAAGACAACACGGTGGCGACCTTCAGCCCCCAGGGACAGAAGCAGATTTTGTCCTCATCTCATGAGGTCGTTATCCTGCTTTTCGAAACTGTCACCCAGAAAGCAATTTAGCAAATGTCATAGCTCCCTTCCCTGCTGCCTTCTCTGTCTCTCTTTCTCCCTCCCTCCTTCTCTCTCTCTTCTCCCTCTCTCCCTCTCCCACTCCTCTTCCTCTCCCGCCCTCCTTCTCTCTCTTTTCTCTCCCTCTCCTTCCTTCTCTCTCTCCCTCCCTCTCTCCTTCCCTCTCTTTCTCTCCCTCCCTCCCTCCTCCTCCTCCTCCTCTCCTCCTCCTCCTCCTCTTCCTGCTTCTCTCTCTCCCCCCTCTCTCTTTCTCTCCCTCCCTCTGTCCCTCCTTCCCTCCTTCTCTCTCTCTCTTCTCTCTCTCCCCTCTTTTTCTCTCCCTCCCTCCGTCACTCTGTCCCTCCTCTCTCTCTTCTCTCTCTCCCTCCCTCCCTCTCTTCCTCTCCTCTCCTCTCCTCTCCTCTCCTCTTCTCTCTCTCTCTCTCTCATTCCCTTTGTGTATGTATCCTTCTGACCCACCCATTCACGTACATTCAATTCTGTGTGTTGAAGGCCAAGTGAGTTTATAGCTGAAGCAACGTTTCAACACACCCGATGTCGAGGTCCTTTGCCTTGTTATTATCTGAGTTCCACCCATAAGTTCCACCACATCTGCCTAATGGGTGACAACTAACAATTAAGTTGTCATCACGATTAAACTGAGCAGAAGGGAGATTGCCCATTGAAAGAAGCTGTGGAGCAATGACAGGATTACAAGTCAGAAGTTTCTAAAATGACTGGTGTGCAGGCCAGGCAACAAAGCACATTGCAACAGCTTCTCCTGGGGTCAGGTTTTCTGCTCGGGGTTGGGATTACTGTCCCCAGAATTCCCAGCCAACATGGGAAATAAAAATCAGAAGGATTCCACCTGAGACTCTCCTCATTTGCTCTTCAGCGTCTGTCCTCTGACGTGTGGTAAATTCCCTCGCCTCAGAAATTCGTAAGGTTGACCTGGGACTTCCAAGCTCCACCTTCCTGGGTCACAACCAACATTTGAGTAAATAAATAAAACAAACCATGCATAATTGAAGATGCAGTCAAGTTGCATTAGCGGATCGTGCGATCTCGTTGGTTTTGAAGCACCAATCTTCTTTGTGTTGTTTTTCTGCTTCCGTTCCTCCTCAGGAGTGCAAGCCCAAATTGTGGAGAAGCGTGGTCGTTCAGAAAGAGAACACACTTTTAATAGAAGATGTGCAGGAGGAAGACAGTGGAAATTACACCTGTGAGCTGAAGTTCGAAGGGAAGCTGATTAGACGCACAACTGAACTTAAAGTTACAGGTAAGGAACCTTCCGGCATGGAATTGGAAGACAATGCATACAATATAAAGGTAAAGGTTACCCTTGCATGTATGTGGCAGTCATTTCCAGCTCTAGGGGGCAGTGTTCATCTCCATTGCAAAGCTGAAGAGCCAGTGCCGTCCAAAGATGTCTCCGTGGTCATGTGGTTGGCATGACTAGACGCTAAAGGCGCACAGAACACTTTCCCCTTCCCACCAATGTGGTCCCTATTTTTCTACTTGCATTGTTTATATGTGCTTTCAAAGTGCTAGGTTGGCAGAAGCTGGGACTAGTCACGGGACCTCACTCCATTACGCGGTGCTAGGGATTCGAACCAGCGAACTGCCGACCTTTCTGATCAACAAGCTCAGCGTCTTAGCCACTGAGCCACCACGTTCAATGCGTTCAATGCATAAAATGGGGATGACCTAAAAAAAATTGATGGTGTGTCTTATTCTTTTTTGATTTACTGTAGTTTTATGTGCCATGCCGGCAGCTTTGCGAGGTCAATGAATCTGAGAAACGAAGACTTTATCCAAAGGCATTGTTGGGTCTCCTTGGCCCTAGGCCCACTCTGATACCATGAGACGCGCATGGATGATGTCATGTAGAATCAGAGTTCCATTGAAGGGAGGAAATGAGTTAATCTTTCCATGAGACCCCCGTTCTGCTTGCAAACATATTTGTTTATTATTATTTCACTTATTTGTGTCTCGCCTTTATTATTTTTAGAACTAACTCAAGGCAGAGAAGATATGTAATACTCTTTCCCCTTCCTATTTTCCCTACAATGATAGCCCTGCGGGGTGGGCTGGGCTGAGAGAGAGGGACTAACCCAAAGTTTGCCTCCCTGTGGTTGGTCCAAAGTCACCCAGCTGGCTTTCATGCCTAAGGCTCAACTAGAACTCCCAGTCTCCTGGTGGTTGGGCCAATGTCACCCAACAGTCTTTCACAGCTAAGGCAGGATTAGAACTCCCAATCTCCTGGTGATTGGCCCAAAGTCACCCAGCTGTCTAAGGCTGGACTGCAACTCACAGTCTCCTGGGGATTGGCTTAAAGTCAACCAGCTGGCTTTCATGCCTAAGGCAGGACTAGAGCTCACCATCTCCTGCTCTCTAGCCTGGCGCCTCTTAACCACTAGACCAAACTTGTTCTCCTCTCTTCACACCATCTCACAAATTTCTAATTTGTTAGGGCGTTATGGATTCTCCAACCTGTTTCTCCAAGCTACGTCGAACTTGGGCTGTGAACAGACGTGATCTTTGCACGCCCTGCTGTTTGTTTTCAAAGGTGTGGATTTTGCCATGTATTTTGGCAAGAGGGATCGAGGGGGACTTCACCCCACTTAAAGATGGCCCTGATTTTCAAGTTCATATGAATATTTCAAGATGTCATCCAGGCAGGAGTGGGAGGGTGTGTGTGTGTGTGTGTGTGTGTGTGTGTGTGTGTGTCTTCTCTCCTAGTTTCTGAGCTTTGCCTGGGGACTTATCATTGTCAACGTTCACTCTCGATGCTCTGCAGCAAGGAGTCTTCTTCTATGCCAGGCCTGTCAAATGGAGTGAGGATAATTTGATCTGTTGTTTCTCCAGACTTAACGGGGTTTTAACCATTTTGTATTATTTTGTATTGGGAGTGTGGATCTGTCAGCTCGGCTGGCCCTAGGGAAGGAAAGAATAAAACCCCCAATAAACTGGGGAAAGAAGAGGAGGAAAGAAACCAGGGAGATAAGTTCTGGTGTCTTATTCTGTATTTTTTTTCCCCTCCTGCTGATTGTTGACTTATGCCCACTTTGTCAAGCGGGGTGAGGAAAACAAGATGGTGGCCACTCACATGCGATTGGAACCCTGTTCTTCTCCAAGCTTCTTGGTTGAGAAGCGAAACGTCTTCAAGGAAAAAGAAGAATCAAGAAAGTCCAGCTGTCTTTTGGAAAAAAGCACTTTTGGGTCAACCATGACCTGAATGATGGAGAATCTTTGTCATACCCCTGTCAGAGTCTGAATCCGAGGAGGAAGAGGAACAGCTGACAGGGAGTGGGAGTGTGGCTCTGTTGGCTGTGGAGGAAACTGGGAGAGGGTGAAGTCTGGCTGGGCAGAGCAGGGAAGAGGTAGAACAAGGGAGAGGAAGTTCAGAGGAAGACCCAGGCCCACTCCCTCTTCATCCTAGGGCACGCAGGGAGGAATGGAGAAGAGAGCAACGTGGGTTGCATGGCTTATGGGGGAGGAAAGGGCCCTGATTACTTTCATTAGCCACAGCTGGAAATCTTCTGGGAACAAACATGATTTATCTTGTATTGATTTTGGTTATTTGCGTTCCTGGCATCCCCCCAATCATATTGAATTACTGCTGTTCTTTCATGTCTGGAATTCCTTTTCCTGCCCTGCTGGACTAATTACCTCATTTTGCCTTGTTTGGATTTATAGTTCGTTTTTGTTGACCACGTTTTGGACTTGATTCTCTGCAGCCAAAGGCTGTTCCTGGGAGAGTTTTTCTCTAGCCAGAAGGTGACCAGGAGTTTGGGGACAAAGTTAGAGCTAATAAATGGACTCCTACTGATTATTTGACTGTGTTACCTTTGTGCCACGCCCCAGGTCATCACAATCTCCATAGACAGGGTCAACAGTTAGGGGTAACTGAAGTGGGCATCTTAAAAACAACAATCAGAAGACCCAACCTTAATGTAGCAAATGGTTTTTGCCAAAAAAAAAGAAAAAGAGGGTTTCTTTTTTGATGGATTCCATCAGACAACTCATCTTTAATTTTCAATAGCTGGGTCAAGGTTGGTCATGAAGCCAACTGATCCTAGACTCATGGAGATGCCAATTCTACAAAGGAAAGGGAGATGGGGGTTTCCTTCAGAAGGCTGTAAAGAAGCAGCGAAAAAGGAGCAATATGCTGCAGTCTATGAATTATATATAATCCCAGTTCTTCGTTGCTTTGCTTTACAGCTTTCCAAGTAGAGTGTATCACATGCAGAGTAATTAGAATGGTAAATAATGTTTCCTTTTATCATTTTGTGAGGCATTCCTTCATTGCTTTTCCCCAGAGTCAACTCGTTTACTTTACTCTCATCTTAAATCACTGGATTATTTGGTTGGCCCATGAGAGAAATGTGGTCTCTTATGTTTCTTTCTCTGTAAACATGTTTTTGTATCTACGCTCCTGTCTCAGAACTAAGAGGCACCATTGAATGGGTAGGGAGTGATTGCTTTGGGTTCTTTATTTTTCCTCTTGTCAGCAGTGCTTTGGTGCCAAATTTCTAGTGAATTCTATTTTCACTTGGAAGAATCTGAAAATTAGTTTCAAAATTGGGAGAATGAGTGCCTTTTGTGACATCTTTTAGTCTCTTCTATGCCTCAGGTTCTCATTTTTCAACCTTAGTCTCTTTATGAGGTGTGGACTTCAACTCCCAGAATTCCATGCTGACCAAGGAATTCTGGGAATTGGAATCCACCAAACCTAAAGTCCCAAAAGACCAACCTCCCAATTGAGAGGGGGTGTAAGTTCCACTCCTCACCCTATCTTTGCAAATACAGGGTTACCATGAATCATCATTCGGTCTTTTAAAAACATTAATGATTTGCACTTATAATGCCCATTGACTCTGAGCTACTTAGGGGGATGATCAAGATGAAGTATTTATGTCAGCGTAATTAATCAACTCTGTGGATAATTAACTGGAAGGAATTCAAGGGTAAAAGGATTGCTAGCAGTCAATATTTGGAAGTGATTACGGTAGTCTCAAAGGTGCTTTTTCTAAACGCAACTGGACAATGTGGATGACAGCAAATCTCCATAGGCATCACAACTGGTATAAAATGCTGTAATAAGATTTGAAGCTCTACAGAATTTGATACAGGCATGTTCTTTTCACACCTCTATTCTTCTTGTGCCCTATCCGTCATCGGATGTTGGCGATCGTGTTGGCGATCCTATTTTTATCTCCTCCTCCTCCTCCTCCTCCTCCTCCTCCTCCTCCTCCTCCTCCTTCTCCTTCTCCTCCTCCTTCTTTCATATCCATCATCAGATGTTGGCGATCCCATTTTTATCAACAGCCTCATGAAAAAGGGCTGCTGAGTTTTATCCAAACCAGTCCCTTAGATTTGGAAGCCACGATGTTCTTCTTCTGTGTGGACCTTCATTTCCCTTCAATCTTTCCCTGGAGGATTAAGTGAAGGATGCCGTATATTTCCGGGTGTCGCATCCCATGTCCGAAATATTCTAACTTTCCCTTTTTTTTTGACTCTGATGATTTCCCTTGGCTTTCCCAGGCGTCTTATCACCTCCTTTCTGATTTTGTCAAGCCAACTTATAGGGTGGCTCAGTGGCTAAGACACTGAGCTTGTCGATCAGAAAGGTCGGCAGTTCAGCGGTTCGAATCCCTAGCGCCGCGGAACGGAGTGAGCTCCTGTTACTTGTCCCAGCTTCTGCCAACCTAACAGTTTGAAAGCGCGTAAAAAATGCAAGTAGAAAGACAGGGACCGCTTTGGTGAGAAGGTAACAGCGTTCCGTGCACCTTTGAAGGCGTTTTGTCATGCCAGCCACATGACCATGGAGACGTCTTCGGCCAGCACTGGCTCTTCGGCTTTGCAACGGAGAGGAGCACCGCCCCTTCGAGCTGGAAATGACTAGCATGTATGCATGAGGGGAACCTTTACCTTTACTATACTGTCCTAATTTCTAATCCATATGAGCTATTTTGAGGAAGAGTTTTACCTGACTAAATAATTCAGCCCGGTTCTACTGGTGAGGTTGGTTAGATTGGTTCAAGACAGCAAGACCGAGCTGCAGAATTGAATTTTTACCACATCCTAGAACTTTTCAATTGATGGAATTGCAAAAGGGTAAGACTGGCCCACAATCTAAGCAGCACACTAAGAAAAATGACTAGTGCTTTGAAGCATTGGGTTTCGGTGGAGTAACGTTTCAAAAACCCAGTTGTGTAAAGAGGTGAATCCTGATAAGAAAAGGGCTTGAGGAAAAAAAACAGTAATTTTAAGGAA